AATAATTGTTTCATTGTATATTGCAGTCTTACTCGATCTTTGGCAATTACACTAGCTTGTGGACATGGTCACGAAGAGTGCATCCAAGAATCGCACACCATGTTTGTACATTGGATGCAAAATAGCGACAATAACATGTAAGATTTGTAATAACCTAATTTATGATCCAGTTCTATGATATTAATATTATATATAGCTAATTTGGTATTATAACACATTAGGCATTTTAACTGTAATGTAACAGTCTTTGGATTCAATATATTCATTATGATATTATTTTATAGTCGATATGATATTTCGTCACTATTGTTCACTCACTGGCAGGATTCCAGAGAATATGAAGAGTGACGTATATTGTACAGCCATAGCACATGGTACCTCGGACTACTGGGAGTTTGCCTGGAACCAGTATTTGACAACACAAAGCAGTGCAGAGCGATCTTTGTTAATGGAGGCAATGGCATGCAGTAACCAACCTTGGATTCTAAGCAGGTATACCAAACATGTCATCGTACTAACTTTGGGTAATTTGAAACCTTGTCAGGAAAATAGAATCTAATATACCATTTTCACTGTCCTATGTAAAACATGTTGGCGTGCAAGTATTTCAATATGAAGAATGTAGAATACTGTTAACTATAGATATATTGTAAATTCGTGTTCTACAGTGGAGTCGCATATCTTGATATAATGACACTTGCAATTATTTGATTGTTTTACATGTGCGCATAGTTTAGCCATTTTAGCAGCGCTTACTATAAACCATAATTTCATATTTCCTCATTAAAAACTCACTAAATATTGTCATTTCATAAATACTTTAGACATCAAAACGTCCACTGTAAGACACTAAATATGCCACTGAACAATGTTTTGAAATATTGAAAAACAATAGAAGAATGTTCTAAGACTTGCTATTATCATTTGTCAGTATTATCCCAGATGAATACAGAGATTCCATATTTTTCTTTCATCTTTGTGAATTACATATCAAATATGTAAAAATAAAGAAAATAGAAATATTTGAAAATTTTTGTGTAGCATTCTACTTTGATCACAATGTACAAAAACTTTGCGTCGTAATATTTATATAGCACATAGAATTGACAAAACAAACGTCGTTTACGAAAAAACACACAATTGATTCATAATTTTCAGATACTTGAACTATTGCCTGGACTCCCAGCTTATTCGTCGCCAGGATGCCACCTACGTTGTCGGATATATTGCTGGTAGTGCAGTCGGTGAAGTACTAGCATGGGACTTTGTCAGATCACACTGGGATCACTTGTTTGACACGTGAGTACCTTCTATCCATCATCCAATCATTCTGATCTGTTGTATTACGTAACTAATTGCGCTACATTAATATTAATAAATGTCCATTACCATGCTGCCCTGACTATTATTTTCTGGTTATTTTTCATAGTTACGGCACCAACATGTTTTCTTTCCCACGTCTTATTGACAGTGTTACTGCGTCGTTTTCGTCACGTTTGAGGTTAAAAGAGGTAATGTGAGAACTGCTCTTTTGTCACACAGCATTCTTTCGAATTGTGTATAAACCAACAATGTATTTTACCATAGATTCTGATTTTAGCAAAAACACGAATATCGAACACAGCACGTTGCTATGACTACTGACCTTTAATTGTGTTTTTTGGTGCAGTCGTCGTTTTTGTAAAATGTTTACTTCTTCACATGTCATTGAATGTTATTCAGAATTTGCCGATAGCACGCAATGAACACCGTGATATTTTACATTAAAACGAAACATATACCACGGCTACGATGTTATCAGAATTTGCCGATAGCACGCAATGAACACCGTGATATTTTACAATTAAAACGAAACATATACCACGGCTACGATGTTATTCAGAATTTGCCGATAGCACGCAATGAACACCGTGATATTTTACAATTAAAACGAAACATATACCATGGCTACGATGTTATTAGAGAAAGTCGCTGTTGTTTAGTTGGTTGCATCAATTTCATAACGTAAAGTAAAACAATACTTGTCAATCAAACATTGACTTACTCGAAGATATTCACATGCACATTACTCACTTAACGACACGTTATCTTTTCTTGAATAGCTTCAGAAGTTTATATCTGATCATCCAAACCTTGGAACGGCGGCAAAGTCGTTTGAACAGGCCGTAGAACGAACCCGAGTCAATATACTATGGCATGAGAACACCATTGTGGATTTACAGAAATGGCTTGAAGATGAAGTAAGAGTGGTGTAGCTCTAGATCTTCCTATCTGTTCCCTGCACATAATCGCATTTTGGGGCAGAATATGTATACACGTGTGATTGCATTACTTGTCTTACTCTGTTCATTTATTCAGACAAAACAAAGATGGGAGGAATTGGCATTTTGAATCACACTAAGTCGATTAAAATATTTGGTATGTTAACTGATCAAAAAACAATGAACCTGAAATATGAAAATAAATGTCGGTTGAGTATTGAAGATATTATTTCAGCTTTCTTTGATATAGTATTGTTATTTACGTTTGTACACATGCTTTAAGATTCTCTCAATAAAGCAGTAATATTACGTACTGGATACGGTTTTTGCGGCAGAAAAAAAAAGTGATATCAACTACCTTATAGGAGGTAATTTACCACGATCTCAAACACACGACGTAATTTAGAATGGGCGTTTTGTTTTGAATGAAAGGCATGATACAGGAAATTATTGCCACGATGTGAGGACGCTATTCCCATAGCGTTACGAGGCTGGGCAATACGAGATATATGATAATATGCAGCATACTTCGACTTTATCCGGTTTAACTCAGGGTGTTTATAGATAAATACTTTTAGTTGTATTTTCATGCTTGCAGTTTAGCCTTCAGATAGAAATCTTGTTTAAGTGAAATGCACGTATAACACGCATAATATCACACTCGCACTATATTCCAGATAAGTTAACATACACCTGAACTGTGAAATCCACTATACTGATATTACTAATAACACAACCGACACCTATTCCAGAGACACACTGAGAATAAAAACACACACTATCGATTACGTCAAGTTACATCTCTATACATACGAGGTTACAGAAATAACGTGAACATATTGACAATTGTAAATTACAACAAAGCGAATACATAATGTATCTACTAGTATTTCTCAAGGAAAGACAACTGATCAAAGTAACGACATAAACAGTGTATATCATCGTCTTCGCATTGGCGACGGCCATCTGAAGTGTAACATGGCAACGGGTTGCAACATTGGTGGTGCCCTCCTATCACCATGCATCGATCGCCATAAGCAGCACATTCCTTCTGTGAAAGATATATATGAAAATGAATATTTGACATGCTAACATATAGTAACAGTAATTTACTTCAGATTCTCATGATTTTACAACTACGTTAACACCCACTTAATACATAACTATGCACGTGTTTACGCTAGCCATTATGTATGTTCCGGCAAAGTGAACACGAGAGGTAACATATATCCATGACGTATCACCAATGTACAATATAAAACAGTATATTAACATTTATTATAACACTTGGAGTAGTTCGTGAAGTTCTCGATGAAATATTTAGCGAGATTTAACGATACTTGTTTTATCAGCAGATCAGATTGTTATCATTGTGTATTCAATCTTTATTTAGGATTTCTCACCTGTGCATCCATCCCTTTACTTGATTTTCGTCTGTGTCCATTACGTAACTTATTCTGTAGAAAGTCATGATACTTTTCATCCATTCTCGCACTAACTAAAACAAGTATTACCATGACGATAAACAACAATACAGGTTTTCTGTCCATGACGACTGACATTTTCTAGAAAGAGGAAATATCGATTGTGTTTTTTTCTCAGAAATCGTGCTCGTCATAAAAGTGCTTGATAATGATACAATATACATTGGATAATTTATATTGCACTATCAACAGCTTTTATTAATTTGAAAATATCTATAAGTATTATCCTCGTTATTTCAAATTAATTTGTTCTGCCGTTCCCGTTACGGTTGGAGTTTTCTGTGACTCAGTGTTTTGTAGGAAAAATAGGCCACGCGTATGTTGATGTTTCAGATCGAATAATAAACAAAGAATTAAACATTTGTATTTGATATACGAGGTCGTTTCTGACTGAGGTATTTGCTTTTCCTAATGGTCGCAATTTTGATTGGTTAATACTTTCATGGTGGACTTTCATGTGAGTATTGTTTGCATGAAATGAACGTGATTCATGCTTGTAATATGTGTAGTAATAAGCTGTCAACCAAATAGTGACACGGAGGCCATGGAGTCCCAAATGTGATGTGATTATGACTAACTTACCAATGCAGTCCATTTGTGGAGAAGGAAATTCAACGAACCGGTAATAAAGAGATTATTACAAAAAAGATTACAAGCGCACTTGGGACTAGATTCCAATTAAAACATGGAATTTCTCTCATTATTTGTTTTTGATGTATTCACGCGTTAAGTCGAAGCTATCAAGCGGGATACAAAAAAGAACATAACCCACCGGGGATTATATTTTGCATTCATTATCAAAAGTTCTATTCAATACGTCGTGGGCCTAACGGAATACATAAGATGAAAAATGTACAGAATTCGTATATTTTATAATTTTGATTTTCATAAAAGATTTGGTTGGATTACGCGCTTTCAACATTTCACTGTTTTAATTGTTTTCAGACGAAGTGTATACCTAAAATAACAACGAGATAAACCCCATTTCTGAAAGGATTAACATCTGCGTCCCTGAGATTGACTAGTGGTTATCCACTCAAGTAATTAATAACCTGAAGGAATAAAATGCTTGTTTTTCAAATTCATTATCGAGCGTACACACGTCAATTGGCCTAATTAAAAGTACAATAACGAACATACAATGTATGAACCAGGACATTAACGAATATACACTGTATGAAGCTGGACGATAACTAACAATAATGTAGAAAACAGGGCACCAACTCACAAAAGTATTGTGACTAGAAATAAGATAACTCGTTTTTACATTTTAACATTGCTAATATTTTACTTGTTATTCACAGATATAAGACAGCATGGTGATATGCAAATTAGATAAGAAAACAAACTGCGAAAACTTACCCAACGATAACAATATAGCACTATATTAAGTGCATTTGATCCAATGTATAGGTGGATAAATGATAAATCTAACGATATAGTGGTAGATCATATTGAAACATACAATGTATTGAAACATGGAACAAAGCATTACTCTAGGTCAACTGTAAAACTGCGAGAATGGCTAATTTACATAATCATTATTACAGTATCCAGTACAACTTGTACAGACACTTAATCAAGTTATTAACTCCCACTAGGACGATTCAATTACTGTTCCGTAACATGTTATTGCCCGTGATTTATATGTATAATCTGGCATTACATTGTATGTGCAAACAATTCTACAGAGCGTTAAAAAATGCATTTCTGCACTTGTAATTTAATTTAATGTTTACTGTAACATGTTTAACGTGTGGTAGACCTCCGTAATCACGTCTACATATAAATATATAAACATATAAACATATAAACACGATTTTATAAAAATAACTGACTGATCAATTAACACAATTTGTTTTAAAGTTTTTTTATATTTGTAATGGAGTTCGTCCATTTCCGTTTGTATTTTATTAGTATACGGTAAACGTTGGAAAATGAGCGGATATATGTCTCCCTGGATGTTCTTTATATTATAGAGTGAACACAATTCATATTTATTACAGTCAAGTCAATCGCGACAAATACTGCATAGTAAAGTAAACGGCCAGAAAAAGAAAACTAGAATGCATATTATAACACTATTGTCATGAACATACAATGTTTAGGTTAATCATACACGTCTTATTATCCAGGCGAACAATAATGTACTTAGTTAACGTCCTCGGCAGAGTTTTATGTAACGCCACTGCATAACACAGATAAAATACATATAAATACAGTACACTAGAGTAATCTAGCGTATACATAAATTTACAGTACTGAGCATAAAACATAGAACACAAATACGTGTCAGATGATAAAAGCACAAAAACGATCCTAATTGAACTTTTAGTAAGACGAGTATACATTGAAAAAAACTCATGTTTTTTAAGAGCGTCAAATGTAGGAATGTTGCTGGATACACACATACCACTTGACTTACAGTCCCTGGGCCGACTGTTACCCCAATTGTGATAAAATACACCAACCTGTATTCGTCTCGTCTCTATTGCCAACTGTTCTTAATTCCGTTTAGTAAACATATAATGTAGGAATGAAGGAATTGTGACGGCCGTCCAGCTGCTCTCGTAGTTTAATGAGTACTAATCTCACATCTCTGATATACACTATTCTTAATAGCATTACAATATCCCAAAGGAAACACGTTGCTATCATAATATGTGCTAAGTATATACATGAACACAGTACAGATCACAAAGATATTTTATTGATGTAATATAATCTGACGTGTGAAACACAGACAGGATACTGGCTACATGCTGCTGGGTCATGACCAAAGCTCACGCACCGAATATTCTAAGTCTCAGAAACAAAATTAAAGATTGAGACACGAACACAGTGTGAATAAGTTCTCCACCCAAAGGATTACGGACAATATACCTTCCATACCCAATGAAATGTTTGAGCGATATACCTTCTAGTAATGGTAGAGTTTGACAATATAATCTCTATCAAGTTAGTGTTTGCTGAATGTAAAGGTGGCATTCTAAATCGCAATACCCATAATCTCGACAGACGCAATGACTATTAAACCACATATCACATCACAAATCCTCTACCTAGTGAGAAATATATTCCCTACCTAGAGAAATATGGACAATGGGGATTTTTTTCTTTGCCACATGCTGTGAATTTTTGTTGAATTTATGATTCTCTCAAAACAATACGAAACCTTGGTGTCTGCTTGTAGTGCGGCGCCATTCTAAAAGTCACATGATTGCGATTTAGCCATTCACTACACCTATTCGATATATACATATACTATCATTTACTTTGAACTGCGAAATGCATATAGCCTCATTTCCTGTGACTATCGTTCATAAATTGAAATCAATCACATGTACAATTACAAAGTAATCGACAAAGCAGTAGCAGATGGCATTCCCAAATGTTGTTGAAGTATAATAGCCTATACATTTTACGTAAAACAACACACATGTAATCTTTGACAGGGGGTTATCCAGAGAATACAGATATTCTCATTTTTTGACGATGCTGTCGTTTTGT